CCGATCCTTTGCCACTCATCATCACCAAATCTACACTAGCGTGGTTGTATCACTACAATGATGCGATCACCACTACAATCACGACCATCAACATGTTTGAAGGGGAAATATGAGGAATCAAAGTTAGAGGCAATCGGCCTTCACTGGAAGACTGGAGTGTGTGCACAATGCTCGGTAGAGCTTGGTTGTCACTAGATGGCTGGCGCCTGGCTGTGAATGTAGTGGTGGTGGTGGTGAAAAATAGTGACGGATGAATGTAACATAGTCTAGTGCATGATTTGTTACAAAGACCACCAGATCCACATGAATGTAACACAATGTGTGTAGGCTTTGTGAAGCTGTTGGTGATGGTGGAGAGTGTCGGATTCGACAGGGTATGGTAGTAATCTAAAGTCAGCAGTGGTTTGTTTATTTGTTTATTATAATTATTTTTTCAAATGTAATATTGTAACGAATGTATTTCAAAATGTAACATATAACCAAAAATATATATATATATATATATACACACACACAAAAATGTAATACTAACTTTTTTTCAAACTTTTGTGTAATCACTATGTTTCATTTCTCACATATTTGAGGAATAGCCCATTGAATGTTGGATGCATCAGTGGGTTGGACGTGAAGCGGCCAGTAGACATTCGCGAGTTGTAAATGTATAAACTACAAAGTATAAACAAGTTACAAGGATGAAGTGTTTTCAAGATCTCAATTCATAATTAAGAGATCGTAAGTTTTTAGTTTCAAAAATCTGATATAATTAAAAAATTTAATATCAATAATAATATTATAAAATTAAATTAACATCCAACCACCTCACCCACAAACCCTAAATTTATCTTCATTCCTCTCTCTCCATTCTCTTTCTATATCTCACCCTCTCTCTCTCTTATCTTCCTCTCCCGACTCTATACACTCTTCGTCAACCTCCGCCGCTGGAGAGTGCCACCACTAGAGAGCACCGCTCTACCATCTTCATTGTGAGCACCGTCGGTGAAGTCATTTCTTGACTGCAAATTGTGCTAGCAACGGCCTAGATCGCCAGAAGCTCTACAGATATTATTAGAAAGGATATTGAGCATAACTTAACCTAACAAAATCGGCTTTGTTAGGGGGAGGATTGCTATCACTTTATTAAGTGGATCTTGTAAATATCACCGTTAATGTGGAACTCTAATACGTCCCCTCACGTACAGCGTGGACCATACCAAATAACTGTAAACAAATCGATATTGGGTGCACCCAATATTGTAAAATTGGGTCTGCTCTGATACCATATTAGAAAGAATATTGAACCTAACTTAACCTAACAAAACTGACTTTATCAGGGGAGCATTACCCTCACCTTATTAAGTGGATCGTGTAAATATCACCAACTAATGTGAGACTCCAATAGACATCGAGTAAAGATGTTCCTTTACTGAGAGCGCCACCAGAGGCTCTGTAGATTTTTGTTGTAGCGACGTAGATCGTGATGGCACAAATCGTGGCCACAGTGGCACATATTGCGTTGGTTGTTTTTTTTTTTTTTTTTAAATTGTTGGATGGGTGGTAGTGGTTTTCATGTTTTGGTGATTTTGGGGTGATGGTGGTGGTGGTTGTCGGGCTGAGGTGGTGGTACCGCTAGCGATTATGGCGAGGTATTGACGGTGATGGTGACACTAGAGGTCGCGGTTCATATGGTGGTGGCATTAGTGGATGCAATAAGATTTTGTTGGTTTTTGGGGTGTTTATTGTTGGCGATGGTGCAGAGGATCGAAGGTAGTGTAGGTGGAGTTTGGCACTTGTACGGTGGTGGATCTGGCATTGTTGGCGATGATGAGGTGGTGGTTGCAAATGGTTGAGATGCAAGTGGTGGCGTAGACAATCGAATGGGACTAGGAGTGTTTGTGACTAATAAATTGGTTATTGTAACAATAAATTGGGTAACATGTGACCTAAAAATGTGGTTGTAACTCACAAGTTATTAAGTTGTGTCTGAGAAATAACTTGTGATCATGATAATTAGGCCTTATAAAATTGTGACCGATGAATAAATTGAAACCTATAAAAAATTTTGATTTGTAATCGATAAATAAATTGCGGCTTATAAAATTTTTGGTTTGTGATCGAGAAATTATTTTGACCTATAAATTTTTTGAGTGGCCGACAAAAAATTATAATCAATTAATTCGAGAATTTGTAACCAAATTATATGGATTTGTGACCTTAATATATTTAATTAATAAAAATATATATTCAATTAATTATTTCATAAATAAATTTTAATAAATATCTGATTTTTGAAATTTTTAACCTTTTATCTTAGTTTTGAAATGAGTAATACTTAAACTCTTATAAA